TGGTGCTGTTTTTTTTTTTTTTTAAATATAAACAGTGGAGATGTTGTATGATTGCAAATAAGATAACTATCCACCAGGGTCAAATAAAGTGTATGTAAGCAATTATATGCTATCGAAAAATCGTACCTTACAGTCGGCTATAAAAAGCCCCGACATGAAAATTGTGGAAGGATTCAACAAGAAAACTAACGGCCTAACTCATAACAAAACAATTTACGAAAAATAACAAATATGATAGAGATGAACCAACGACAACCACCAAACTACAGGCTCGTGGCTTCGGACAGACACATAAAGAATGTGCTGGGTTAAATAGATATAGGAAGATGTGGTATGAGTGCCAATGAGACAACTCTCCATCCAAGTCACAATTTATGAAAGTAAACCATTATAGGTCAAGGTACGGTCTTCAACATTGTTTATTGTTTATTTTTTTAAATTTCTGAAATGAATAATTTGTTAAAAGAAAAGTGAAGAAAATACTTTGTTTTCATTGAAAATTAGGAGAAATAAATCATGAATTGTGTTTCGAATTAATTTTCTTGTTTCTTATTGAAAATATAAGATTGTATTTTTTTTTTTAGTTTAAGTAAATTCATTCAATCTTTTTATTTACAGGGAGAAAATAATAAAAGACTGTTGCTAAGGCTGTTTGGCCTTAACTTAAATGAGTAGATGGAGGGGTAGTGAAAAGGAGTGTATTCGTCCGAATTTTCATTGTTACAGTAGTACATTTTCATGATTACTATGTATAATATTTCTCAGTAAATTTTAATGTGATATTGTGCCAATTAAAATTATATAATTAATACACGTAAGACTTGCATTTGCCTTAAAAGACATAGCAGTACGTGATTATTTGTTTTCAAACACACCTTCTCTGTTTTGAAACTTATAAAGAAATGGATATCTGTTTGGTTGAATATAAATGTGAATTCATAGAGTTTCAAAATCAAAAGTAAGCCCTATTTTTGTGTGTGTGTGTAAATAATCAAATCTTTAGATAGATGCTAAAATTAAAATCATTTTTCTTAATAAGAAGAAAAAAGTGCAACTTAAGCACGCATGAATGTAAAAAGGTGTACCCGACTTATTCGTTCACGATAAGAATTTACCGATTTTGGTATTTTAACAAAACTGTTTACGAGGGCAAATAAATAAATGAACGCTATCAAATTAACATTTAAATTTACGTGGATTTTTCCAAAAGAATTTATGAGTATGCACCATCAGGATTCAAAAATATTTCAACCTGTCCTTATTAGATGTTATTTCATTATAATTCTTTAAACTTACAAGTCGAAGATGCTAGCTTTTGTGAATTGTATTAATAAGTATATAATATTAAGATGACAACCAAAAAAACTTCATACAAGGTCATCTTTATTCTCAAGTAGAAAGTTTATATAAATAGTTTATGCCGTAGCCACAGCCGGATTTGTATCTCTTGTATCGGATTCTTCTTTCATTCTTTCCAAAAATGATTAATCTAAGGTTAATATTTTTTTTAATTTAAACAGTGTTAGCCACCGAGCTTGTCCATTTCTTACTATATAGAGATGATGTTTTTTTTTAGAAAATTAATGTTCTTTATTCTAATATATTGGCTGTATCTGCCTTTTACAAATAAGACAATAACATTAATTGAAAAAGGAGACGTGGAATGGTTTTCACTGAGAGGACTTTCAAACAAAGTCCAAATGAAATAGATTTGACCAACTATTGGTTACTATACACTTCACAATGAACAAAACCCATACCGTATCAAAATTGCCTGATTTATGACAAAATCATAAACAAATATGTCAGGCAGCAACTTACGACCGCCGCTATATTACATGTTCCTGACCAGGGACAGACACATATATATTGAGGCGGACTTAAACATGTTTGTGAGCACTCAAACCTCCCTTAACATGGTGCCGTGGTGTAGCAATACAACATTTTTTTTGCAGAGAATGATAATTCATTTATATTTCATTTTATCTGAAAGTTGAAAGAGAATTCATTCACTTAATGGTTCTAAATATTCAATGCGGAAAAATTCTCCTACCATTACCTCCTTCCTCCCCTCCACCCACAACTTATCCCCGAAATGTTCATCACTTATATGCAAATGCTGACTAATGTTGTATGGTTAAAACATTTGGTTGAGGCAATCTAAAGTTTTAGAACATATATATAGAAACAACAGCTTTAGCTTTTTTTCATTTATAAAAGGGCATAACTCAAGAACGGTATCAGTGACGCTACCCAATTTATAACTTGATCTGTGTTTTGTGGTGATAAGCATTTCGTGTAAGTTTTAAAACATTTGGTTAAGGCATACTAAAGTTAGAGAACGGAAACCAATTATTGGGACTTTCTGAACGGACGGGAGAGACGGGTCGGACGGACATGGGTAACATTTAACGCTACGTCAGGGCAGAACAACAGGTCAGTAAAACAGTGACATGCCTTTCCGAAAGTTACAACATTTGCCAGCTTTTGTATATGCCGTATTCATTTTGTATACATCAGGTATGTAAAAGATGTAATAGGACTGTGTTCAAGCCTTATATTGTGTATATATATCTTAAATGGTGTCAAGCGAATTGTATCAAATGCATAATTAGATATTTGAACCTTATACTTTATTTTCTTAAAAATACGGCAAATAAATATTTTGAAATTAGCAAGTTGCCATACAGTTGAAAACAAGTTGCCATACAGTAAATTTGTCAACATGAGCAAGTTGCCGTACCCTAGACTTTATATTTTATGGTCTATATTCTTTAAAAACGTTCATTTTGACAACAAATTTCAGTAAATATGATGCCACACTATAATAATCTAAAAAGTGTCTGGAAAAATAATGAAAAACAGTTGAATATCTTGCCAATGGGGCGACAGAGGACGATCGACCTCGAAATTTTCAGGTACTAAATGGCAAGTTCTTGAGTATAACACAAAATCTTGTCTTAATTTTGTACTTATCGGCCTAATAATTTAAAGAATTATATATCAGAAAATCATTTCTTAAGCGGTACCCTCGTCAAATCAGTAGAAATGCTTTAAATTGAATGAATTCTTACCTTGTTTACTTTTTTTCCCCATTTCTCTCCGCTTCGTTAGTACCCAATTTCCGGTGGCGATGATACACAGTGAAGATCACCTTAGTTAAAATAAGATACTCGAGCAGATTCGGAAATGCAAGTTCGTTCCGGTCCTTGGTTCACATATTATCGACTTATGCGTAAAAACAAGGAATTTTCAGTGTAGAATTATTGAATTTTGAACATGAACGGACGCGAGTACCACAAATATATTTGAAACAGTAAATTATTTCCTTACAACAAACAACACATTGAAATATCTTCGTGGTACTTGCGTCCGCTCATAGTTAAAAATTGCTCAAACGGACGCAAACACTTCTGATTATCATAAAATTTACGTCTTTTAACAGAAAGAGAGGGGTATTTAATAATTTTCACACACAGAAAAAGAAAAGTTATATTGATTTTTTGTAAGATGAGACACTATTCTTTTTAGAAATAGCCATGTTTCTTGGATATTATTCATTCTAATTTCAACGAAAATAGGGGGCCAGTTGCAATAGCTTATCGTACCTTGTCCTTTCGATATTAATTTAAATATAGACAGATATGGATTCTGAGACACGGTTTATCACTTCCAATAGTAAAATGACGAATTTCATAGTACTTTTTTGTGGGCCGAATCAGTCAATAAAATCGGTCTCTCCCAGTTTAATCTTTTTATGTCATATTTGTTTTCACTGTACATGCGGAGCCAAAGAGCAATGATAAATCTATCTTTAACTGATGTCACATTATAGGTCGCATGCATACGGGTCCAAATGATGTCGAATCAATGTCATACAAGACAATTATATATCAGCAAAGTCTGTGAGCCTATTTTCACAAAGTTGAACCAAACTGCTAATAGTGAATTATTATTCAATGTTTCGTTCTTGTAAATGCTTGAAAAAAAAATACTATAATGTTTCAACTTGAACTGTCAAAATCGTAGCTAATACCATTTTAACATAATTGGATAAAACTAGCACACAGTTTTTAAAATATATTATCACTGATTTGCATGACTACATGCTATAGCCTTAAACATAACACTCAGAACTTAATAAGTACATTATACGATATTTTGTGGACTTGTAGAATCTTCTATGAATAGAATTTAACCAAAACTGGTGTCATAAGTTGTAGCTTTATGCCAAACAGGACAGTACCTAATATATGGTTAAATAACTATGATTGAAAGTTTTCCTGCCGAAGGTCGGTTAATCTCTCCCGGCTTCCTCCACCAATAAAAACTGACTGTCACGATATAGCCTATAGTACTGAAAGTGGCGTTAAACGTCAACAAACAATCAATCAGTCTTAAAGATAGGTTGAAAATATGTAGATGTGAGAGTATAATATCAAACTGGTTAATTAGTTAAGATAAACTTGTATCACCTGGTGAAAGGCATACGGCTTTCAATATATAAAATAACACATAGCTGAGAGGGTGATAGAGCAGATTGTTACCCCGAGAAAACATTGTCAACTGAGGCGAAGCCAAGGTTGACAATGTCTTTTCGAGGGGTAACAATCTGCTCTAGCACCCTCTCAGCTATGTGTTATTTAATTTATTATACTGAATGTTCTGCTTTTACTGTCTATTTAATTTCAAATTCAAAGTAGTAAACTATGTCGTCTTGTACATAACAACCATCCGTATTTAATAAAGTGCACACTTGATCAAGCGTCTCCATGAATGCCATTACCGGGTAATAGAGTAAATTAACACCCTTGTATTAGCCAATCAAAATATGGCATTTTAACGTGAAGTATAATAATATATACTGTCAGTCTGTTAATTTGTTGAATTCGCCACACAGCAGATCTTTTTTTCTCATTGCTTAATATTTTCGTGGAAGATTTCCATACACGGGAGGAAAGTTGAGAATTTGGGCCATTTGACAGAAGAAAATACTTTACCTATATTTGCAGTTGACGAGAAAAGACCTCTACATTTATCCGTCCCATTAACAGTAAGCAGAATAATAAACGCTCCCAGAATTGCCACAATAATAAATCTTTGAAAATTGCTAAGCGTGCACCTGCTGGTATGTCGATGCTGCATCTCGATTTCTTTCTGTGTCTTCATAGTGTCTACAATAATAATCATACAAATACAATATACTAATAATAATAATAATAATAATAATAATAATAATAATAATAATATTAATTGATTGATTGGTGTTTAACGCCACTTTCAGCACTATTGTGCTATTTCGTGACGGTCAGTTTTTATTGCATGGTGGACGAAGCCGGAGTGCTGGGAGAGAACAACCGACCTTCGGCATGAAAACTCACAATTTTGGTCAATTAAGGTTCATGTGGACCCTTTTGATTTTATTTATCTGGGGCATGCAATACCTTATAAAATTTCCAGATACACAGGTTTGTCTGTACGCTGAGTAAATTTTTGAGGTTAAAATACAGCCATTTTAGCCAAAGGGTCCACGTGAATTTTAAGATTGGAGTTGAGCGCACCTTCCACGAGCGGGATTCGAACTCACAACCTCAAGCTAGTGATGCAGTAGTTGAATTACTTGGACCACTTGGCCATTTCCAAACTCAAGGTAATTTACAACCCGGTTAACGTTGAAATAAGGATCTGACAATGCTCCTTTCTATTTTCTGTTTGCACGTCCTCTTAGGGATCCTCTGGTTTTTTCGTAATGATACACAAAAAATTCAAAATTTTCATTAGCTAATATGATAATTACCCGAACAGAAAGTAGAACGAAGTGTTGTCTGATCCTTATAAGCAAAGCGTGGGCACAGGATCTGTATTTGAATCAGACTAGCGTATGTAGTCGTTGGATTTTTATGTGACGTACATCTACTTTTATTCAATACAGTACTATAATGCATGGGGCTTTGGATGCAGGTTCTTCGATCCTTCGTTCTTGACTTGTTGGTCCATTTTTCTCTATTCTTTAAACATAGCACTTAAGGTGGCTCGGGAGTCTTCCTCCATTTTGGATTTTGAAATAGCAGATAACGTTGGTCTAGATCTTTGATGAAATGTGCAAATTTTGAGAGTAGTATGTAATTCATGTGTAAGACTTTTGATGTAAATATAGAAAATTGTGGGTTTTATCATAATTACGGCTGTATTTTTTTTTTAAAATACCTGATTTGTGTTTGATTAATTTTTTTTCAACTTTTCCAAATAAGGGGAGATAACTCAGATAAAGTAATTTTTATAATAGAAAGTGTTGTGAGTTTACCTATTTTAATCTGTAGCAAGAAAACAAGTTCGGTGACCCCATTTTTTCTTTTTCTTATCTGAAAGCATGTTATAAGAGCTATCTTCTCACATTTTATCTTAAAATTCTATCATGTAGTTTTCTTTTTATCACACACAATTTGATTTCAATGCATAATCTATACAAAATCTGACGATTTTGCACAATCTGTAGCGTGAAAAAAAGTCCGGTGACCCATGCTTTTTATTATATTTTTGAAAAAAGCATGATGAAAACTTCATTATGACAAATTATTAAAAAATTCTATCAGTTTTAATTAAGACGCCCCAGCCACCTTAATTACAACTGTCAGATTTTGGTATTTGGTATTGTTTATGTTAGAGACTGTATTACGCAAAATGAAATACTGCTTTGTATTTAATATGAAAAAGTTTCAAGACTATACACGCATTCAGAAAAGATGAAGGATCTGTACTGTACAGAAAAACTTGTTATAAACACAGCAAGAACATCTCTAGAGAGAATGACATCAATGGCAGTTTCTGAGTTTATATAGAAAAAAAAACAAAAACAAAGCAAAATGAAAACACAAGAGGCCCTGTTCTCATAGTTTGTTTATGATACTTATAAATCTGACTTTTTACACTTTCCAGCTTGTCCCTCCTTTGTTTTCTTCAATCAAGTAACAAAAATGTAGTAAATTCACAAATAATATAAAACCACTATAAATGAAATATAGATTGAAACATGGAAAAATTATATTGACAATATAATACTTTCGTGATTGAAAGAAGGTGAAAAAAACTTTATTATTTAGAATTTGAAATTTACTGTTAACTTAATCAGGTAGTTTGATATGCTTTTAGTGGATAAATAAAAGGGTATGTTTAGGTGTCAGATCACCAATTTAGAACGTATGTAAAAGACGCCCTTCCCTGACAAGAAATAGTGCTTTTGATGTCATTGTTTACTTAAACTAAACCAAAATTTACGGAAATGAAACTTTTGTTGAAGAGAAATATATGTAGACCATTTTGAGCCAAAATTTACTTGTCCATGAATTTGCATTAAAAATTGAGTATCGCTGCGCTCCAAAGTATGCTTATTTAAGATTTCCAGAAAACAAAGAGTTATTTTTAGCAGTACTTGTCTTTCGAACGTTAATATTTTCTTACAAGACTTTAAGCATAGGTTGATAATTGGCATGTAGAAAGATGATACTTGTACAATTCAGGATATACCTGGTTTCTATGAAGTTAAACTTGAGGTAAAATATTTAAAAAGCTATGAAATTTGCAAAATTTGGTTGAATAGATAAGGATTTTGAATTGGTGGTCTGACACCTGCATACGGTATATACACTTGTATGTCAATAAGACCGTAACCCATAACAAAAGCAACCAAAAATATCATCTATAGATTCACAAACGGTCTTCAAAAATGGACAAAATTCTGACGCAATGTCAAGCTCTGAACTGTCCAAAAATGTTGATTATTCATCAAAGATTTAAGTTGAGATTTGTTTCATGTATTACTAAGAGAAAGTTAATATAAAAAATACTGCATGAGATGTGGTATGATTCAATTAGATACCTATCCAATATAAGTCATCGAAAGGCCTTCAACAATAAGCAAAACCTTGCCGTATAGTAAGCTATAAAAAATCATGACATGAAAAAATGCGAAACAAACAATTGCCATGAATTATGCTAATATTTAATAAAGCATTGCGGTACAATAGTCAATGTAAAAATAAGAATAAAAAGAAAAGAATCTAAGCAATAGAAGTATTCTTGACACAAATACATTTAACAATATAATGGACCGTCGATAATCGACACATTTATTTAACACTAAAATTCATTAAATTACCCGGCTTCGTAAACAATAAATTCATCAGGGATACCAGGATTAAAATTTTGTATTTGCGCCAGAAGCTCGTTTCGTCTACAAAAGACTCATCAGTGACGCTCGAATAAAAAAAGGGTTAAAAAGGCCAAACAAAGTACGAAGTTGAAGAGCATTGAGGACCAAACATTCCTTAAAGTTTTGCCAAATACAGCTATTCCTGAGGTAAAAAAAGCCTGAGTATTTCAAAAATTCGAAGTTTTGTCAACCGTTATTTATATAATTATGAACAAAACACATTTACAAAAATGTAACTTACAATTGTCATAGTTCTTATGGAAACCGAGTGTATTCATCAACTGCACATATATATTTTTAGTTCAAATCCGTGAATTTGTAAACTATACATGGTTAAATGCCAGGATGTCCGTTTTACAAGGACGGATTATATGTGGATTAGTTGACCATTATACTTAAGGATATTTAGTTTTGTCACGTGATTTATGTGAATGAAGTGTTGGTTCATAATATTATTATTATTTTAGTTTTTTTTTCAATTTTATTTCTTTTTTTTTTTCAAATCACATAAAATAAAGTATACATAGTCAAAAAAGTTATTGTTTTAAAGTGCAGAAAAGACGATGTCATTTTTATATATAAAATGTTTCTTAAGTAAATGATAAGATGAAACCAAACGTTTCGGTCGGTGACAATCCATATAGTGAATACCGTCAGTTGCAGACATAAAATTAAATATAAATATTTGTCTTCAGGCCATATACTTTGACTCTTAAGGATGTACTTAGGTGAAATTAAAAAATCTATAATTTCAAATTGATATTAATTATAAGTCAAAAGAGCTTTAGTTAAGGAACAAAATAAGCTAAAAATATTGATATGTTGTTGACACAGGCACTTGTCTCTGAAATAAAATCCTATATACCTTAGTATTAAAATAAGGTATATAGGAATTTTTAACAGAGACAAGTGCCTGTGGTTATGGAGCTCCTTTTCGAAATATTTAATTTTTAAAAAAATTGCGGGAAAAGGCGGACTAGAACTTTTGCATTATATTTGCATAGGCATTATGTAGGTCTTGAATCGTATAACAAGAAATCTAGAATCTGCTTAAATTTTGGTAACGACCTTTGTATAAGCTATTGAATTCTTCTATGAAAAGAAAAGTGTATGACATAGGGCAAAATATTTCACCCTGTATCTAACAAAAATTCCTAAACCTGATACAAGTACATCCTTAATTTTGTTTTATGACAAAAGTTCCTTAAACACATTAATTGAAGAAATAAATACATTGACTGCCGGTGATTTGAAAATTTGGAAAATAACCAACGAGAACCACTATTAATGTGTGACAAGATTCTATGTGAGGGAATTCGGCGTTTACTTTAAACTTACTTTATACAATGAATCAAAGAGATTACGATCGTTTGTTGTATTTTAAGAAAAAAAAATTTTTTTTGTGTTTCTTTGTATTATTTCTTAACAAATTTCAACTTTGTTGCAAATAATCTAGTTGATTTTTGAATCCCAAACTTTCTGCTTTAAAATACGCTCTTGAGAGATCGGGAAAATATGCCAATACAGACATATACCTAGGTTTTCGTAATTCCAGCAAATTTTTTATTCACTATTGTTTGGTTGTAATAACAATAAACTATCCTTAAATTTGTCATTTTCCCCAATCAAATTTACTCCTACCACTTTGTTTGTTTTCTACTGCAATAAACTATATTTGAATTATTTTTTCACTGTAGAATTTCGATCAGAGAATAAAATAAGACTTTAAAAAAAGAAAACAGGATTCACTATGAATAGCGAGAATCAAACTGGGGTGAAATATTTCCAGGAAAAAGGGAAATATGCAGACCGTACTTTGACCTATAATGGTTTACTTTTATAAATTTTGACTTGGATGGTGAGTTGTCTCTTTACCACTCATACCACGTCTTCTTATATCTATTGTCATGTGTAGTCCAATTATTATGACGTTTTGTACGGCTTTTTCATATTTTGTTAGCCTTTCTAGACGTAATATATATTTGGTGTAGGTCATTTGTGGATTTACTACATTTTTGCTGCTTGATTGAAAGAAACAAAGGAGGGACAAGCTGGAAAGTATAAAATGTCAGATTTACAAGTATCTTTTATTTATTTACTATAATTTTATAACAGTCTTTTAAATAGATTGTTATTTTGAAACAGAGTAGCGAAGTAACATCCTTAAATAGAACTTTTATCAAATAGCTAAAAAAAAAAGACCCCAAATTAATTGCAATATGGTGCACGAACAAATAAAGTAAAAGTATACAAGTCGGTTTATTCCCGATCGTCCCACTTTTTAAAATTTTAGAGTTCTGATTGTCCCGCATGAAAAGTTCTTATTGTCCCACATAAAAAGTTCTGATTGTTCCACGTTATTTTATGAAGTAAAATGTTCTTAAAGGTTCATTCCCTCTATTCCCACTTTTTATAAATCTGGTAAGAAAAGTTAATATTTCATGTGGGAATAGGGGGAAAACTTGTGCAAACAAAGGATTATACTGTACAAACATTTTTTAATCAACTGTTAATTGACCAGTGTTTTTTTTTTATTAGGACAGGTAATAAGTTATTTTTGCATCTGTATGAATTCTGTATTTTTTAAACAAAATAAATATGAAAGAAATTAAAATATATAATTTCTTTTATAACACAAATTCAACTGTAGATTCAAGCAAGCATAAATATAACACAAATTATACAACAGCACTAAATCAAATCACACATTCTAGCACATACATTAGACAATCACTGTATACAAGTCTATTAAAGTTTATCAATCTATTCCACGTGAAGAAGGTGGGAGGCTGCATCACCAAACTCTAACTCAGTCAATTAAAATTAATCAAATCTGATTGCTCATGCTTTGAAGTAAAGTTAACAGTTTTCACCCATTATTTTACATCTTTGATTATTGGTCCAAGTAATTATATTTTCAGAGTATACTTTTGTTCCACATCTTAAGATTATACTTGGTAATAATATTATTTTATATCATGATTTATTTGTACAGCAGACAATTCTTTAAGGTTACAAATTCAAAAATTTAAAAATAAATCTTACTCCAATCTATTTATCATAATTATTCTTTATTTTTAAATATTTCTTTGATGAAAAAAGAAATAAACAAGGTATTATACATAAACAGTGTACCAAATATGTTATGTTTAAAAAAAAAATACAGGTAAATCTTAGGTGAAATTCTAATTAACCTTGATTGTTATAAAAACAAATTATTTATCAAAACATCTATTGTTATTTGCATGTGGGAATAGAAGGAATAGTATTTTTAAAAAGTGGGAATAGGAGGGAGACACCTTCTTAAATAAACAAGGTAGCTATTGTTTGTTTTACTAAATAAACAAGAATTAAATATTGCATGTTCAAACTTTTACTTTATATCAATTTTGTAATAGTCTAAAATATGATTTTTTTTAAATCATCAGATTAATGCGCTTTTTAATCAATAATATAACATTTCTGAGTTATGAAATATATCTATAATGTAACGTTTATTTATATTCTAATTACATTTTTTTCTAAAGTTTTTAAATAAATTAAGAAATAACACATGCAATTTAAAAATGTTTAAACTCATTTACTAGTATACTGTTGATGAAGAGATGTTTCCACTAGTCTTTGCACTTTTACCATGCAGGGATGCTAGAGGACATTTACACACGATTCTGTACACTACACTGAAGACTGCTTGAACACAACGTCAGATTCACCTGAACCCAACAACTTTCTTCATTGATAACGAATTCTGCCATCCTTTACAGGAATCACTATTAAAGGATGTTATACAAAGTGTATTTGGCATAAAGTGCAATCTACAGGACTCGTCATAAACTACAAAGAAGAACCAGACATGAATCAACTTATACGCAGGGCAGTAGTTCTTCCTCTGGTACCACAAGCAGAAAAAGAAGATGTCTGGTTCCATACACTGGAAGACCTGGAAAATTCAGACTCAACGGCAAAATCCATTCTGTTTAAGGACTATGTCACAACATACTGAGTTGAAAGCAACAGGTAGCTATGATTCATTATGAAACAGAAGAACCAACGACTAGAAACCACCTCGAAGGCTGACACAAAAGCTTGATGAAGATGATCTAAGTACCACCCAAACATATACATGCTACTGAACTACCTTTACGAAGAGCAGGCATCAAACGAAGTGACCATCATTCAGTACCAAGCAGGGTGAGTACGACCGACAAAGAGAAGAAAATACACACAACTCAATCAGCGCCTACAAGAACTCAAAGATCATCTTCAAAGATCTTCAAAATGGTGAAGTTTGTTTTTTTTAGAATGCTAACATTGCCTCTTATTTTTTACACTTGGGCTAAATTTGTTTCAATTATATGATGTGGTGTGGTGTTTATGTTAAGTATTATGTGTGCTTTGTTGTACTTATGAATGTATTATGTGTGCTTTGTTGTACTTATGAATGTATTATGTGTGCTTTATATTTGTGTGCTTAATTGTAACTCTTTAGTACACATGTATATGTAAAATGAGTAGTGCTTAATAAATGCTATGCTATGACTTAATATCATTTTTTGATTGATGATACTTCAATTGTACCTACATGTATTCTGTGCAAAATAAAATATATAAATATTATTATTTGTTTATGTTTATTTCATATTTTATAAGTTACTTCATTAGTTACCGGTAAATACCTGATACACACAATAACAACAAATTCATCACTATCAAAACAATTCCCGATTGTCCCACATTTAAGATTCCCAATTGTCCCACAAAATTTCACTACTTTTTTACCTGTAATTTCAAGAAGTTGGACAATCGGGAAGACACCCTCAAGTCAGTGTTGAGTTTTAAATATTGCAAACCCCAAGGGTTACTGGGATATACATATGGTCATCTCTTGGTCTTCCTCCGATCCGCTGTAAAAACCCTTGCTAAAGTGGGGCGCCAGTTTGGCTGTAGGGGGTGTATACATTCGCAGCCACGTCCGGTCAAAATGAGGACGTTAAGGGCGTACAATACAGTTTTGATCCCACGGTGAATTTATGACGAAAGTTTGCATATCTATTTTTGCCTAGTAAATTCAAGTATTTTATATAAATATACCATCATGTGCCACTTTTAGAGATTTTTGTTTTAAAACATAAACGCAAGCGGATTTTTGTAAAAACATTTCGAATATCTTCTCTTCATAAGTTGGCTTTGAATTTGTGTAGCAATTTTTTGGAAATAATTCATTTTTATCACATTTTCCTGATTTTAGTAAAAAAAAAAACTCTTAATCACTAGTGAGACAAAACAGAGTACACACAAGAACACAAGACAATATCAAAGAGGTGTATTTTGTAAATGT